GGCCTGGAACTAGGGATCTCCTGGGCTGGGTCCCGCCCCAGGAAGTCTCTTCTCTCCACTCTGGATTTTTATCCATTACAGGCAATGACTGATGCCACAGCTTGAATAGCAGAGCCCAGGCAGGAAGCCCGGGGCAGAAGCCCGGCAGGAACTCTCCCTCACATTGCCTGAACTCTGGTTAAGGAGGAAAAGCCTCCCTAGAGGCTCCCAGCGGACTCTCTCAGTGGCATTCACCAGACCCAGCTCACTCATCCGCCCCAGACCAAACAGTGGTGAACAGGAATGAAACCGCCCTGACTGGCTGACTTTAACCCTGCTCATCTCTAGGGACTTGGCACTGGCTGCCTGAACCCGGTCAGCCTCCTGAAACAAACAGGGGAGGACGAGGGGCTGCTCAGCAGTGAATATCATCCCAGAATGCTCATGACGCTGTTACAGGAAAAGGTCCCGATCCCGACCCCAAAAGAGGGTTCTCAGATCTTGCACAAGAAAGAATTCAGGGCGAGTCCAGAAAGCGAAAGCAAGTTTATTAAGAATGTAGGCCAGGTGGAGTGTCTCAGGCCTATAATCCCAGCAGTTTGGGAGGCCGAGGTGGGTGGATCACCAGGTCAGGAGATCGAGACCATCCTGGGAAACACGGTGAAACTCTGACTCTACTAAAAATACAAAAATTAGCCAGGCATGCTAGCCTGCACCTGTAGTCCCAGCTACTTGGAAGGCTGAGGCAGAAGAATTGCTTGAACCCAGGAGGCACAGGTTGCATTGAGCCAAGATCTCACCATTGCACTCCAGCCTTGGTGACAGAGCACAACTCTGTCTCAAAAAAAAAAAAAAAAAGAAAAAAAAAAAAGAAAGTAAAGGCCAGTTGCCTTATAGAATGCCCCACATTCTAGCTCTTCATGATTATTCTTGGAGGTGTCACTTAATTTGTTCCTCTCTCCCCCAGTATTTTCTTTCTCTTCTTCTTTTCCGTTTTTTGAGATGGAGTCCCACTCTGTTGTCCAGACTGGAGTGCAGTGGCACAATCTAGTCCCACTGCAACCTCTGCCTCCCAGGTTCAAGCAATTCTTCTGCCTCAGCCTCCCGAGTAGCTGAGATTATAGATGTGTACCACCATGCCTGGCTTTTTTTTTTTTTTGTATTTTAAGTAGAGATGGGGTTTCACTGTGTTGGCCAGGCTGGTCTCGAACTCCTGACCTCAGGTGATCCTCCCATCTTGGCCCCCCAAAGTAATGGGATTATAGGTGTGAGCCACTGTGCCCAGCCCTGTCTCCAGTATTTTCTGATTAGATTCAGATGAAAGGCTTTGGGAGAATAGGCGATACTGTGTCTTCATATTGTAATATACCAGGTGGTGCATAATGTCAAGCTGCCCTACTGCTGCTGATGGTATATTTGAAACACTTGATCCTCTAAGAATGGCATCCACAACGGTTTCCTTTGCTTTCATTCCAAAAGAAGCCTCACTACAAATCCGTTTATATATAAGGGACCTTTCCTGAAAATGTGGACATAATAGCATGGCTTATAGTGGAATACTGAAAAAGATGAAAACTGAGAATTCCCTCTGTAAGGCGGTGTGTGTGTACGCACACATGGGCCTGTGAGGTTCACGAGGAGATGGAAACTGAGAATTCCCTCTGTAAGGCGGTGTGTGTACGCAGACATGGGCCTGTGAGGTTCACGAGGAGATGGAAACTGAGAATTCCCTCTGTAAGGCGGTGTGTGTACGCAGACATGGGCCTGTGAGGTTCACAAGGAGATGGAAACTGAGAATTCCCTCTGTAAGGCGGTGTGTGTGTACGCAGACATGGGCCTGTGAGGTTCACGAGGAGATGGAAACTGAGAATTCCCTCTGTAAGGCGGTGCGTGTACGCAGACATGGGCCTGTGAGGTTCACAAGGAGATGGAAACTGAGAATTCCCTCTGTAAGGCGGTGTGTGTGAATGCAGACATGGGCCTGTGAGGTTCACGAGGAGATGGAAACTGAGAATTCCCTCTGTAAGGCGGTGCGTGTACGCAGACATGGGCCTGTGAGGTTCACGAGGAGATGGAAACTGAGAATTCCCTCTGTAAGGCGGTGTGTGTACGCAGACATGGGCCTGTGAGGTTCACGAGGAGATGGAAACTGAGAATTCCCTCTGTAAGGCCGTGTGTGTGTACGCAGACATGGGCCTGTGAGGTTCACGAGGAGATGGAAACTGAGAATTCCCTCTGTAAGGCGGTGTGTGTGAATGCAGACATGGGCCTGTGAGGTTCACGAGGAGATGGAAACTGAGAATTCCCTCTGTAAGGCGGTGTGTGTACGCAGACATGGGCCTGTGAGGTTCACGAGGAGATGGAAACTGAGAATTCCCTCTGTAAGGCCGTGTGTGTGTACGCAGACATGGGCCTGTGAGGTTCACGAGGAGATGGAAACTGAGAATTCCCTCTGTAAGGCGGTGTGTGTACGCAGACATGGGCCTGTGAGGTTCACGAGGAGATGGAAACTGAGAATTCCCTCTGTAAGGCGGTGTGTGTACGCAGACATGGGCCTGTGAGGTTCACGAGGAGATGGAAACTGAGAATTCCCGCTGTAAGGCCGTGTGTGTGAATGCAGACATGGACCTGTGAGGTTCATGAGGAGATGGAAACTGAGAATTCCCTCTGTAAGGCCGTGTGTGTGAATGCAGACATGGGCCTGTGAGGTTCATGAGGAGATGGAAACTGAGAATTCCCTCTGTAAGGCCGTGTGTGTGAATGCAGACATGGGCCTGTGAGGTTCACGAGGAGATGGAAACTGAGAATTCCCTCTGTAAGGCGGTGCGTGTACGCAGACATGGGCCTGTGAGGTTCACGAGGAGATGGAAACTGAGAATTCCCTCTGTAAGGCGGTGTGAGTACGCAGACATGGGCCTGTGAGGTTCACGAGGAGATGGAAACTGAGAATTCCCTCTGTAAGGCCGTGTGTGTGTACGCAGACATGGGCCTGTGAGGTTCACGAGGAGATGGAAACTGAGAATTCCCTCTGTAAGGCGGTGTGTGTGAATGCAGACATGGGCCTGTGAGGTTCACGAGGAGATGGAAACTGAGAATTCCCTCTGTAAGGCGGTGTGTGTACGCAGACATGGGCCTGTGAGGTTCACGAGGAGATGGAAACTGAGAATTCCCTCTGTAAGGCCGTGTGTGTGTACGCAGACATGGGCCTGTGAGGTTCACGAGGAGATGGAAACTGAGAATTCCCTCTGTAAGGCGGTGTGTGTACGCAGACATGGGCCTGTGAGGTTCACGAGGAGATGGAAACTGAGAATTCCCTCTGTAAGGCGGTGTGTGTACGCAGACATGGGCCTGTGAGGTTCACGAGGAGATGGAAACTGAGAATTCCCGCTGTAAGGCCGTGTGTGTGAATGCAGACATGGGCCTGTGAGGTTCATGAGGAGATGGAAACTGAGAATTCCCTCTGTAAGGCCGTGTGTGTGAATGCAGACATGGGCCTGTGAGGTTCATGAGGAGATGGAAACTGAGAATTCCCTCTGTAAGGCCGTGTGTGTGTACGCAGACATGGGTCTGTGAGGTTCACAAGGAGATGGAAACTGAGAATTCCCTCTGTAAGGCGGTGTGTGTGTACGCAGACATGGGCCTGTGAGGTTCACGAGGAGATGGAAACTGAGAATTCCGTCTGTAAGGCGGTGTGTGTGAATGCAGACATGGGCCTGTGAGGTTCACGAGGAGATGGAAACTGAGAATTCCCTCTGTAAGGCGGTGCGTGTACGCAGACATGGGCCTGTGAGGTTCACAAGGAGATGGAAACTGAGAATTCCCTCTGTAAGGCGGTGTGTGTGAATGCAGACATGGGTCTGTGAGGTTCACGAGGAGATGGAAACTGAGAATTCCCTCTGTAAGGCGGTGCGTGTACGCAGACATGGGCCTGTGAGGTTCACAAGGAGATGGAAACTGAGAATTCCCTCTGTAAGGCGGTGCGTGTACGCAGACATGGGCCTGTGAGGTTCACAAGGAGATGGAAACTGAGAATTCCCTCTGTAAGGTGGTGTGTGTGTACGCAGACATGGGCCTGTGAGGTTCACGAGGAGATGGAAACTGAGAATTCCCTCTGTAAGGCGGTGCGTGTACGCAGACATGGGCCTGTGAGGTTCACGAGGAGATGGAAACTGAGAATTCCCTCTGTAAGGCGGTGCGTGTACGCAGACATGGGCCTGTGAGGTTCACAAGGAGATGGAAACTGAGAATTCCCTCTGTAAGGTGGTGTGTGTGTACGCAGACATGGGCCTGTGAGGTTCACGAGGAGATGGAAACTGAGAATTCCCTCTGTAAGGCGGTGTGTGTGAATGCAGACATGGGTCTGTGAGGTTCACGAGGAGATGGAAACTGAGAATTCCCTCTGTAAGGCGGTGTGTGTACGCAGACATGGGCCTGTGAGGTTCACAAGGAGATGGAAACTGAGAATTCCCTCTGTAAGGTGGTGTGTGTGTACGCAGACATGGGCCTGTGAGGTTCACAAGGAGATGGAAACTGAGAATTCCCTCTGTAAGGCGGTGTGTGTGAATGCAGACATGGGTCTGTGAGGTTCACGAGGAGATGGAAACTGAGAATTCCCTCTGTAAGGCCGTGTGTGTACGCAGACATGGGCCTGTGAGGTTCACGAGGAGATGGAAACTGAGAATTCCCTCTGTAAGGCGGTGCGTGTACGCAGACATGGGCCTGTGAGGTTCACGAGGAGATGGAAACTGAGAATTCCCTCTGTAAGGCGGTGTGTGTGAATGCAGACATGGGTCTGTGAGGTTCACGAGGAGATGGAAACTGAGAATTCCCTCTGTAAGGCCGTGTGTGTACGCAGACATGGGCCTGTGAGGTTCACGAGGAGATGGAAACTGAGAATTCCGTCTGTAAGGCGGTGTGTGTACGCAGACATGGGCCTGTGAGGTTCACAAGGAGATGGAAACTGAGAATTCCGTCTGTAAGGCGGTGCGTGTACGCAGACATGGGCCTGTGAGGTTCACGAGGAGATGGAAACTGAGAATTCCCTCTGTAAGGCGGTGTGTGTGAATGCAGACATGGGCCTGTGAGGTTCACGAGGAGATGGAAACTGAGAATTCCCTCTGTAAGGCGGTGTGTGTGAATGCAGACATGGGTCTGTGAGGTTCACGAGGAGATGGAAACTGAGAATTCCGTCTGTAAGGCGGTGTGTGTGTACGCAGACATGGGCCTGTGAGGTTCACGAGGTGGACTGTGATAGACACTGACACCCACCTTGGATCCTCCTTCAAAACTCATTGCCCAGCTGTGAAGAGTGTGGCTGGCTAAAAAGCTCCATGAGCTCCTTTCGGATCTGCGCTGCTGAGCTACGGTCACACTCTTTTCAGGGCACCTCGGTCAATGGCAGAGCCATGCGGAGGGAGCTGAGGTCATGCTTTCACCAGGAAGGCCACCAGTGATCAATGACGTCAAAAGGCGGTGGCACAGAGCCTTTCTGTTTCTGCCCAACGCCGGACACCCTGGTTCAGCAAAAGTTATGATTTAAATATGCTTCCAAGCTTTTTCTTTCCTCCCACAACCCTTTTTTTTTTTTTTGAGACGGAGTCTTGCTTTGTCACCCAGGCTGGAGTGCACTGGCATGATCTTGGCTCACTGCAACCTCTGCCTCCCAGGTTCAAGGAATCCTTGTGCCTCAGCCCCCTGAGTAGCTGGGATTACAGGCATGCACCACCATACCTGGATAATTTTTGTATTTTCAGTAGAGTCGGGATATCACCATGTTGGCCAGGCTGGTCTTGAACTCCTGACCTCAAGTGATCCACCCGCCTCAGCCTCCCAAAGTGCTGGGATTACAGGTGTGAGCCACTGAACCTGGCCAAGCTTTTTCTTACTGCAGAGTGGGAGTAGCATCCTCTCCAGCCTTCTGCATGTGAGGTACAGGCCACTTTGCTCTGGAGCTCCCTGCTAGGCTGGAAGACACTTGGCCAGGTCTGCATCATGGTGTGACCCTCCCCTTGCCCAATTGCCTTTTGCAAGTATGACCCCCCAGTCCAAACATTGCTACTGTCTTCTCCAGGAGGAACTCAACTGACACACACTGTGTGGAAAACCTAGTTAAAATTATGGCTCATTTGCCCGGAAAAAACCAACCTTGCCTGGACGTCCCAAAATCCTGAGTACAAGTTTAAGGTATTCATGGATGCCCTGAAGCCCAGGGACCCCACCTGAAGAGCCCCGGGATTCGACTCTCCACCTGCACTTCATACTCCCGTGGGGGATGTGCTGTTGATACTGACAGGCGTTATAGCTCTAGCAAGGGGCAATGGTTGCAATCTGGGCAGGACAACCATGAGAGGCGGTGCAGTGATGCACTCCCCGGGTGGCGGGCAGGCGTTCTGTCTCGTCCCTCCTCATTGAACTTGGCAGTGAACCTTCATAAGGAGAAGATAACAAATTCCCCCGGGACCTTTGGGTACTGTGGGAGATGCCTATGGTCCTGAGAAGTAGGTGCGCTGACAATGGAACAGAGAACAGCTGGCATCTTAGGCTAAATGATGAGTGGAAAGAGTTTCGGCAGTTTTCAGGTTTCTTCCTAGATTGTCCAACTCAATCAGGGCAAGGGAGGGAGCAGAAAGTCCAGAAAGTTATGTTCATGAAGAAAGAGTGTGCATTTGTAGAGAGTCGTTCACGAGTTTGAGCTCTCAGAGGAGCCGGTGGAGTGAAGGCATTGGCTGGGCTACTGTAGCAGGGAAAAGGGCACTTCAAGATCCTAAGGTCGAGGATTTAGGAAATTGAATCAATGAACTCCTCACTATCTGTTTCTATCTCACCTTCTACCATAAAGAATGATGATAGCCGACACAAGAAAAAATGTGTCCCTGCCACGTAAAATGTGTTACAATTTGGAGGCAGAGGCCGAGGGTGGAAAGGCTGAGGAGGCCACGAAGAAGTTGTGTTTGGGACCTGAGGGAGGGGCAGACGGAAGAGGTCATTGTGCAAAGACTGCGTGTTCTCAGCACCAGTGATTCACCTTTGGTGTGTTGGATATAGCATCTTTGGGAAGCAACTCAGTGATTCTCAGGATGAATAGGGCTTTCAAACCAAATCAGTGTTTCAGAAGCAGCACGTGGTTGTGACACCAGTTCAGAAAAATATGCATAAGCTGAAAAGCGGAAGTCCCTTTCACAACGCCAAGGCTTTGCCCTAAATTCAGTTCCCGGGAAATAGGTACTGTTAGCAGGGATGTGTCTTCTGGATTTTCAGTGCATTCCTCATTCTGGGAAGGGATGGGTGCAGGGTGCTTCTGCGGGGAGGACCACTCACCCATCCCTGCACCCACAGGGCCACCTGCTCCCTCTCAAGCTGCCTCTGGGAGCAGATGCTGGCTCCTCCCCATCAGAGTGGGGAGCTTGGAGTACAACCACCAGCTTCCTTCTGTTGGTAAGAGTTCCATGACATCCTTGAGTTCTAAGGACAACTGGATTGGCTGATAGTTTTATCACTCTGAAGCTCAGACATGGATGGAAAGTTGGGAGGTGAGCTCTCCTTTTTCCTCAGTGGGTAGAGGGGGTCCTGCCCATTCCCGGAGCTATGCTCCAGCTTCTGCCTGCAGGCCTGAGGCTGGCCCCATCTCTGCCAATATCCACTGCCCTGTTTTGACTTGCAGCAGAGACGCTCATTTCGTCCTTTTGCCTGACCACAAAGATTTGTCTGCTGCAGCTTTCTTGTGACTGATGCTTTTTGCTTCACTGTGGAAAAATCCCAGGAGCCTCACAGATCAAGGGCCTGAAGGGAATTGTGTGGGAGGCTTCTGACAATTTGTGTAAAGGGGAAAAATATTATTCCCAGGAGGCAATCAATCCTCAGGGCCGTGAACTCTGGCCATGGCACCAGCTCCATTTCTGCAGTGAAATGGGGATGTGTCATGCAGAAACATGAGTGGGACTGGCGAAGGTCTGGAGGCCAAGTCAGAATTTCCAGGCTGCCCCCCCTATGTGTCCCACAGTCACCTTGGAGTCTGGTCTGCAGCCTGGCTTTTTGCTATTTGAGACTCACATTTTCCCATACCCTAACATGGAGGCTAGCATAGTGCCTGATACTTCGTAAACGCTTGATCAATATTCTGGAAGGAAGACTTTGACAAATGTTCTAAAGGCACCTTATCTGTTCCAGATGCTAGGGATTCAGCAGTGAACAAAATGAACTAAAAATAGAACTACCATTGGATCACCAATCCTGCTATACGGTATCCACCCAAAAGAAAGGAAACCAGTGTATAAAAGATATACCTGCACTCTATGTTCATTGTGGCTCCATTCACAATAGCAAAGATAAGAAATCAACCTAAGTGTCCATCAGAGGATGGCTGGTTAAAGAAAATGTGGTACATATACCCAATGGAATACTACTCAGCCATGAAAAAGAATCATGTCTTTTGCAGCAACATGGACAGAGCTGGAGGACATCACTAAATCATGTGCACACATGGACATAGAGAATAAAATAATAGACGTTAGAGACTCGGAAAGGTGGGAGGGTGCGAGGAGGGCGACAGATGAGAAATGATCTATTGGGTACAATGGTCACCATTTGGGTGGCAGGTACCCTAAAAGCCCAGACTTTACCACGATGCCAGACATCCATGTAACATGTAACAAAACTGTAAAAAAAAGTTTGTAAAAATCGGAAAATTTAAAAAAGTTCCCTAAATCTATAAAAATTTAAAAATGGACAAAAATTCTTGTTCTGATGATTCCTAAAAAATTACCTCCCTTGACACATTCTCTTTCTCCCTCATACATTCTATTACATTTCTGTATTTCTACCAATTAATTTGTTTTTTCTTCCCTTCAAGAAATAAACAACAAAACATCTTTTTAAAGCGACTATTCTTGGTCAGGTCAATAAACGTAAATGAACATGGCCAGGTGTGGTGGTGCATGCCTGTAATCCCAGCATTTTAAGAGGCAGGAGGATTGCTTGAGCCCAAGAGTTGAAGACCACCCTGGGCAACATGGTAAAACCCTGTCTCTACCAAAAAAAATACAAAAAATTAGCTGGGCATAGTGGCGTGCACCTGTGGTCTCACCTATGTAGGAGACTGGGGTGGGAGGATTGCTTGAGCCCAAGAGATTGAGGCTGCAGTGAGCTGTGATCATGTCACTGCACTCCAGCCTGGGTGACAGAGTGAGACCATGTCTCAAAATAAAATAAAACAAAACAAAATAAAGGACTGCATCTTCTAAGAGACACAGGCTGTGATGGATAAATGAGGGAGATGAAGCTGCAGTTCTCAGGAAGCTCGAAGTCAGTCCTTGGATGCTTTTGGCTCAACCTGGTTTTAAAAAATGAAAAAATGTATGAGCTTCTAGAAGAGAAAATCCAGAGGTAGGGCTGACCTTCAGGGTAGCAGCAGTGGCTCTCGGAGGTCATAAGGAAACAGCCGCTGCTTTTTTTTTTTTTGAGACAGGATCTTGTTCTGTTACTCAGGTGAAAGGGCGGTGACACGGTCATGACTCAGTGCTCAGCCTCATGAGGATCAAGTGAGCTGAGACCCAGGTGCACACCATCATGCCTGGCTAATTCTTACATTTTTTCAGTAGAGACAAAGTCTTCCTATGTTGCCCAGGCTGGTCTTGAACTCTTGGGCTTATGGGATCTTCCTGCCTCAGCCACCCAAAGTGCTGCAATTACAGGTGTGAGCAACTACGCCCCGCCAGAAGCAGCAGCTTGTCTGTGTTCTTCACCCTGCCTGTTGCAGTGTTGATTTTAACCTAAAACTGGCTCTCATCACGGTTCTGGAACAGCTGCCAGTGGAGCCACGTGTTCCCTCATTGTGCCTGATGGGAGGGAGGCTGGCTTTCCACGGCCTTCAGAGTGAGAAATACCTTGCTGGAGGCCTGCAGTAAATCTCTGCCCAGGTCCAACTGGCGAGCACTGGGTTCCTTGTCCATTTCTGAACCAACCACTGTCCATGGAATTAGGATGCCTTTTTACCCTGCGGTGGATGCCAGTGCCCCAACTCATAAGGGAGGGATGGAACGCAAGTCATTCTGTAACAGTCTAGATCTAAAGCTGACCTTTATCTGTCTTCTCAAAGCCTTCCCTCTGGGCCTGGTGGTCTCTGTGAGACAAATGTTTTCCTCTTTCTCATTTCCCAGGAGTGGGCTGTGTGTCCTCTCTCCTCCCAACTGCTGATTCCGGAACTTTTTGTTTTCCAAAACCACATGCTCCTTTGAAACTGATGCCTTTATTCCTCCCTCCGCGGTGCCCTCGTCACCTAGCAAACTCCTTGTCATGCCCGTTCTCTGTTGTTTAAGTTCTCAGTTTTTCTTTGTATTCTTTCTTCTAATCTCATTCCCTTTTAATTCAATAAACAAACAAAAAAATGTGACCCAACATTCTGCTTCCCAGTTTTTGCCTTTGCTTATTTTTTAAACTTCCCTTCTCCAGAGTGATCCTGTCCTTCCCTAGAGCTCAGCCATGTACTCTCACTGTCTTATTCTGGGTCTTCTCAGCAGAAGAAACTGCATCTCTTTTGGAACGTTGATTTTAAATGCCCTGGGTTGTGGCTACCACCTTCTCCGCTTCTAGCTCATTTACTCTAAACAGTGGTTCTCACCCAGGTGCAAGTCCTCTCCGTCAGCAGACATTTTTGGTTGTCATATCTCAGGGCAGGTGCTACTAGCATCCGGCAGATTGAGGCCAGGGACACTGCTAACCAGCTTACAATGCCCAAGGCAGGCCCCACAAAAATCATCTGTCTTCAAATGTCAACAGGGCCAAGGTTGAGAAACCCTGCTCTGAAACTTCAAATACAACAGTATTTTGAATATAAAACGATTGTAGATCCATTGACATCACATCTTTCTTATTAAACACTGGCCCCTTCTGCTCTGATTTCCTTAGAGTAAATGACCCATCATAATTATGCCCAGGCAAATGCCCTCTTCTTAAGCTCATTTGCACTCACCAGGCAAAAATCGCTCACCCACCCAAACCTGGTTGAACCCAACGATCTACTTTCTTTGTGCTTGGACTGGACTACTAACTATTATTTGAGAAACTCACACCTTGCACTAACTGGCTTCACAATAAATTACAAACCTGACTGGGCTCAACTCTATGTAGAAATTCTGCAGTGCCTGCCTGGAGGCATCCCAGCATCCAAGACGGCCACGTTCCTGGCTGATCCTTCTCCTTTGCTGATTCTGCTCCACTTCCTGGCTTTGAATCAGACATTCCCAGGGCTTCCACTCAAGCCCTCTTCTCTTTCTCTTCATTCTGCTCTTTCTGCCTCTATTTATTTCCATGCCCTAGAAACACTCTCCGTGTAACTGGGACTTCCAAATGCCTGTCTTTAATCCAGTGCTTTCCCCTGGGTGCTAGTCTGTTAAATCATCTGTTGACATATTCAGCTGCGGACTCACAGGTGACCCAAGCGGGACGTATCCCATGTGAATTTCAAATCTGCCTTTCTGTTCCATCTAAAATTTCTCTCCCAGTGTTCTCCATTTCTGAGGATTGACCCTGTCACTGTTTATCTCATTACTAGAGTCCCAGACCTGGGAGTGTACCCTCAATGTCTCCATTTCCCCCACCAGTCTCCTTCCATCACACATTCGGGATTTGGCGAGCCCCGTGGATTCCACCTTCAAAAGAGCCATATCTCAAATCCATCTACCACTCGTCACCTCTGTTGCCATCCCCCAACAGTCCACCATTATCTCTCCTGTCTCATGATAATGAAGTCCTAAATGGCTTCCCTGCGGCCACTCTTGACCATTGTAGTCCACTCTTCACCCAGCAGCCTGAATGATCTTTGAACAGTGTCAATCACATTATCTCACTTTCTTGCTTAAAACTTGCCAATGACTTCCTACCATGCCTCAAATTCCAGTGTAGCCTTCCCTTACCTCCCTCTCAAGTCACAATGGCTCCCATCCTCCCTTGCTCCTGATGCTCCAGTAATGCTGATATGCTTTTCAGATCTTAGAACATGTCGAACTCGTTGAACCTCAGGGTCTTTAATGGACTTTCCTTTCACCTGGATTAGTCTTCCTTGGTCTCCTCTCATAGCATGAATTTCTCATCCCTTGAAACTCAGCTTGAGTGTCGTCTGAGAGACGCCTTGCTGTCCACCTCCTCTAAGATGTGTCTGACCCATTAGTCTCTGTCGTGACTCTTTTTTTCCCTATGAGTAAAAATTCTGATAATCCTGGTTATTTTATTTACTTGTTTATTGTCAGTATTTGCCATTACAATGTAAGTACCCTGGGGACAGACCCTGGTCAGTCAGGTTCACGTCCCCAGGACCTCAGACCATCTGGTACATAGTCGGTACTTAGCAGGCGCCTGTTGAGTGAAACGGATGAGTGAATGTGAGCCCCTCTGTGGATCACACATCATCTTGGAGGCCTTTAAAACCTTGCACAGCATATTCCCTTGGCCTTCCTGTCTCTTCATCACTTAGCTCATGTATTAGGGTTCTCCAGAGAAGCAGAACCCACTGGATATACCTGATTCTATATCCATAGATAGATCAGAGATTTATTTTGGGAATTGGCTTATGCAGTTACGGAGGCCGGGAACTCTAAAGATCTTTTGTCTGCAAACTGGAGAACCGCAAAAGCCAGTGGTGACTTCAGTTCAAAGTACCAAGTCCCGGGAACCAGGAAAGCCGATGTCGTAACTCCCATCTGAGGCTGAAGGCTCGAGAAGGAAGAGTTTCAGTGTCCACAGGCAGACAGAGAGAACAAATTCTCCCTTCCTCCGCCTTTTTGTTCTACCCAGGCCCTCAACGGATCGGGTGACGCTGTCTTCACCGGCGAGCATGATCTTCATCAGTACAGTCTACTGATTTCTTCGAGAAATAGCCTCATAGACACAGCTAGAGATAATGTTTTGTCAGCTATCTGGACACCCCTTAGCCCAGTCTAATGACACATGAAGTGAACCATCACAACCCATATCATTAAGACTTGGCTCCAACATCAGTTCTCCTATCCCCATTGCAGACCAACTCTGGAACTTCTGTAGCTCTGGAGCTCACCTTGACCACAGCACTTCCCCTATTCCACGGTGACTGTGGCTTTGGCAGTCTCTCCCACTTTGTCAACTGCTTTGGGGCAGTGCCCTGCATTTTATATCCGCACGAAGCAATTCAAACGAGCAGTCTGAAACTGAAAGGATGATTCAAGTAAGTCAGTCATGGTCATTGATTTCAATAATATGTTTGCTAAATTAGGATCTTTAGTGGTCAAAGTCAGTCTTTAATTGTAATAAGGTGGAAGAGTTGATAAAGTTTCCTGAGTTACTTCATGGAATGACATTGGTTTCCGGCCAGGCATGGTGGTGAGTTGAGAAAGTTTCCTGAGTTACTTCATGGAATGATATTGGTTTCCAGTGAGGCATGGTGGCTCATGCCTGTGATTCCATCACTCTGGGAGGCTGACACATGAAAACGGCTTGAACTCGGGAGGCAGAGGTTTCAGTGATATGAGATTGCTCCACCCTATTCCAGCCTGGATTACAGAGTGAGACTCTCTCTCTCAAAAAAACAAAAGGGGGAAAGAAAAGAAAAAAGGAAAACAGTTTTTTTAAAAGGCGGGTTTCTGTGTTGACAGGACTCCTCATCTTAGAGACTTAAGGAGAAAATTCCCAGATTCAGTGATTTCTAAGCCTAACGAGATTAATTCTAAATTGTTCCTGAGACACTTCCAAAGTAAAGGTAGCGTTGTCCTCATACCTATGTTTAGACCGGATAAGCAACATTTGAGGTTGCCCTGTAGTAAGGACGTTAGTCACTCAGTGTAGCACTGATTTCCAGTAGCCACTGGGGATCCAGGATAGAACTGGAGCTCGAGTTGCCACAAAGGGGGCTCGGAGACCCTTTGATGAATACAAGCAAGAAGATCTGTGATTCCAATTGGTTTTTGATCCTTTGATTCTTCTGGAGATCTACACGACTAAACCTCACTCTGTATTCACTGCTCTGTCTCATGACATGATCCGTGAACCTTCGGGTCCTCGAGGAAGGCTAAGCTCACCCATGCTCAGAGAGGACGCTTTGCAGACCGCAGTGAAGGGCAAGGTATTTGCTCCCTAGTCCTGGATATGGAGAAGGCTTGTTAAGGCACATTGTGCTGCAGAGAAGGGGTTTAGAATGACTGACATTGTGGCATCAATGTCACCATTTCAGCATGTCCTGTATCCTCACCGTGCATCTCCTCCTCATCTGACTCGGCTCACAGGCCGGCGTCCTCTGCAGACTCTGAACGCCTTTGAAAGTAGGAGTCTCATCTCCTGTCCAGCCTTATGCCCTTTCTCACGTCCTAGCCTGCAGTGCTTAGCTGCATGTTTTGCATTCACTATATAAATAATTTAACTTTTCTGCTTTAGGGAAGAGGAAAACAATTTCACATAGAGATTAAGAAATTCACTTCAATTTGCACACTTGGAGAGATGAGGACTTGAGTCAGAATTGTTCACTCCATGCCTCACCAATACAATGAAAAGAGCATCCGTATCACTTCACACCAATGCCAACGCGTATTATCAAAAAAACCAGAATAGATCGTGTATTGGCCGAGATGTGGAGAAATCAAAACCCATGGACATTGCTGGTAGGAAGGTGAGGTACCGCAGCTGCTGTGGAAAATGGTATGGTGGTTCCTTAAAAGTTAAACACAGGACACGGCATGATTCAGCAATTCGGCTTCTGGGCGTGTACCCCAAAGTATTGCAAGCAGGGACTTGAACCTCAGCCTCCAAAAGTGTTAGGATTACAGGTGTGACACAAGAGCTAAAAGGTAGAAAAACCCCAAAACACTTGTATAGCCATGTTCATAGATGTGTTATTCATAGTAGCCAAAAGGTGGAGACAATCCATGGATAGACAAAGAGATAAACAAAAGGGGGTCTGCCCTTACAATGGAATATGATTCAGCTTTAACTAAGAATGAAATCGTGACACATGCTACAGCATGGATGAAGCTTGAGGACATCATGCTCGGCGGAACAAGCCAGACACAAAACGACAGGCACCGTATGACTCTATTCACATTAGATACTCAGGGTAGTCAAATTCATAGAGACAGAAAGTAGAATGGTGGTTACCGGGGGCTGAGCTGGGGAGTACTGGGGGCTTTATTGCTTATAGTGAAGTTCTATAGTGAGTATAGAATTTCGGTTTTACAAGAGGAACGGTTTTGGAGATGGATAGTGTTGATGGTTGCAAAACAAAGTCAATGTTTTGTTTGTTTGTTTTTGTTTTTTTTTGAGCTGGAGTCTTGCTCTGTTGCTTAGGCTGGAGTGCAGTGGTGTGATCTCAGCTCACTGCAGCCTCTGCTTCCTGGGTTCAGGTGATTCTCCTGCCTCAGCCTCCCAAGTGGCTGGGATTACTGGTGCCTGCCACCATGCCTGGCTATTTTTTTTTTTTTTTTTTTTTAAAGATGGGATTTTGCCATGTTAGCCAGGCTGATCTTGAACTCCTGACTTCAAATGATCCACCCACCTCAGCCTCCAGAAGTGTTAGGATTACAGGTGTGAGCCACTGCACCCAGCCGTTAATGTGTATTTAATGCCTCTGAACTATATACTTAAAAATGGTTAAGTGACATATTTTATGTTATAGATATTTTACCACAATTTTTTAAAGAGGAAGAAAGACAGCATTGGAATACAGCAGTGGATCTTAACTCTTGGGGTTCACAACTTCTTTGAGTTTTGTTTCTAAAACTATGACCTCACTGGGCACAGTGGCTCGTGCCTGTAATCCTAGCGCTTTTGGAGGCTGAGGTGGGCAGATCACGAAGTTAGGAGATTGAGACCATCCTGGCCAATATGGTGAAACCCTGTCTATACTAAAAATACAAAAATTAGCTGGGCATGGTCATGCATGCCTGTAATCCCAGCTACTCGGGAGGCTGAGACAAGAGAATCACTTGAACCAGGGAGTTGGAGGTTGTGGTGAGCCTAGATCATGCCACTGCACTCCAGCCTGGTGACAGAGTGAGTTAGGTCCCAAAAACAAACAAACAACTATGACCTCTTCCCATAAATACACACATAGGTATATACAGATATATGCAAGTGTTGGCATATAATTTTTTTTTTTTTGAGACAGGATCTCCCTCTGACACCCAGGCTGGAGTGCAGTGGTGCAATCTTGGCTCACTGCAGCCTCCACCTCCCAGGCCCAGGTGATTCTCCCACCTCAGCCTCCAGAGTAGCTGGGATTACAGGTGCCTGGCTAATATTTTGTATTTTTAGTAGAGATGGGATTTTGCTATGTTGCCCGGGCTGGTCTCAAACTCCTTGACTCAAGCAATCTATCTGCCTCGGTCTCCCAAAGTGCTGAGATTACAGGCATGAGCCACTATGCCCAGCCTAGCATACATTTTTTAAAAATAAAATGTACACTCACTTTAAAAGTTGATAACATGTGCACTATTGAAAATGAAGAGCATGTGGAGGACAGAACTCAGAATTCGCCTATAATCACAAGCAGGTTGCATTTGCCCCTGCTCTTCTAAGCCCGTGTGTGTGTATACACACATGATGAAACGCATATTGTTATGTGGTTGAGATCACAGAATATGTATCATGTTTTCACACATCATAAATATTTATCAACTTAAAGTCCCAAAGCCAAGAGTATTTTGATGACCAAGTATACACTACACCATTTCAATCAGGAAAAATAAGTAATTTTGCCTTTCATGGAGACAAAAATTTCCTAAAAGAAAAAATGGCAACATTCCTCTGAATAAAGATGTTGGCAGAGTTACAATTAAAATACTGCATTCCCTTAATGCTTAATTTAAAACAGGGTATAATACTTCTAAGAGAATGGTCCTAGTAAGACGTTGGCAAGCAGGTGTGTGTCCACTGAGTTACTCAGCAGTGTGTTCTTACAGTAATTCCCAAAGAAATGCACACATACATCAAGATGCATTATCAAGATGGTTATCGTCAAGATGGAAATAGCAATTCGTCTGTATATTTCCTTCCTCATGCTCCTGCTGCTGCTCTGTTGCTGACTCAATTAATGAGTCCTGGGGCACAATGCTAAGAGGGGGCTTCAGAATACTATGTTCCAAAGTCTTATTTTCTCTTAATTATATTAAAAAAAGACATTACAAAGGGGCTCATTCACTGGCTCTACTTTTTATCCTACATTGTCATCTCAAGACATGTAAAAAAGCATCTATGTTGTGAAATACAGAGTGAACGTGGTCTACCTGTGCAGAGACAGGGAAGGAGCTGGAAGCCATTATGTTCAGCATAATGCCTGCAGGAAACCAAGCACTGCATGTTCTCACTCACAAGTGGGAGCCTGACGATGGGAACACGTGGACACAGGGAGGGGTGCGACACACACTGGGGCCTGCCGGGGGAGTGTGTGGTGGAGTCGTGGTGGTAAAGCATTAGGGAAAAGAGCTGATGTATGCTGGGTTTGATGCCTACATGACGGGTTGATAGGTGCAGCAAACCACCATGGCCTACGTTTACCTATGAAACAAACCTGCACATCCTGCACGTGTGCCCCAGAACTTCAAAAATAAAAATAAAAAATAATGAACATGGTCTATAATAAACACAAGCACCTACTAAAAAACTGCACATTTGGAACTGCGGTGATAACCCAGAATTGTCTTCTAGATATGGAGTTACCAGCGAAGAGTTTCACTGTCACTCTCCTCCCCGCTCCACTGCCCGGACGAGGAAGTGTGGAAATGTGTCTGGCTCCATCCGAGAGGTGGGTTAACAAAGGTCGCTCCCAGAAGACAGCCCTTCCCACAACCTGACAAAACAAAAATGCCCAAAGTGTGTTAAAAGCAGAGATTTTATAAAACAACCCGTATTTATAAAGGGGTTGTTTTGCTACGTCTGCTTTTGTTTTTGTTTTTTTTTTAATTTGAGACGGAGTTTCACTCGTTACGCAGGGTGGAGTGCAATGGTGCGATCTCGGCTCACCGCAACCTCCGCCTCCTGGGTTCAGGCAATTCTCCTGCCTCAGCCTCCTGAGTAGCTGGGATTACAGGCACGCGCCACCATGCCCAGCTAATTTTTTGTATCTTTAGTAGAGACGGGGTTTCACCATGTTGACCAGGATGGTCTCGATCTCTTGACCTCGTGATCCACCCACCTCGGCCTCCCAAAGTGCTGGGATTACAGGCTTGAACCACCGTGCCCGGCCCCGCTACCTCTGCTTTTTAACATACTTTGGGCACTCAGGACTTGTTTATTCCTGACTAGACACCAATATTAATGGAAATACACAGATAGAACCATGGTCAGATAGCCTGAAATTGTCTAACCTTCCCTCTGCAGCCCTCTCCTCCAAGAGATCAAATTTAACACCATTCATGAAAGATAATCATACCTGTAAGTTAGCAGAAAAATCTAAAGTGTGTTATTTTACATTCTCTACTTTTAACATATATGTGCACTTCTTACTACTTAGACTAGGTAACTCAGAGACCATGGAAGTTCATCCACATTAACTGCACGCATGCAGCAAAGCTGTGTCCTGAAAGCATCTTCGACGTAGGAACCTTCTGGCCTAGAACCCTTCCCCTTCTCACGCCTACCAACCCCGTGGGCAAATCTACGCATGTGCAATGCTTGGAGGGGATGTTCACGATGTCCACAAGTTGTCTTCAGAAGACAGTCTTTCCTGTGAATTTTAACACGGAACGTACACAATTGCTTACGGACGGGACTTTGCTCAAACAGTGGGAACCTCTTTAACGTCTAGAAAGAGTAGCTTTGTTGACCACGTATGCTACACGCGCAGCAAAGTGAGACAAAACGCAGACCTGCGAGACACCGGTGAATCCGGCCTCTCCATAGGCACGCTGGCGGGAAGCCCACTGGCACCTGCTCCTTTCTGCTCTTCCCTAGACCAGAACGGAAAGACACGTGCCTGTCCAAAGAGGTGGTTTGGCCATTCCATTGCCCAAAGACAACGTTTCATGTGGATTTTAATAAAAAGATATTTGGAAAATATGTCCCATTGCTACATCTACTTTTAATATATACCAACCGGTACTTCAGGACATCAAGAAAAATTACATATCAGAAAAAGGAACACGGCAAGGCCAACTACATCCACGTTGGTGAAGAATAGAAAGTGGAGGCAGGACGTGGTTGGGAAATGAAAAAGTCCTCTCAACATGACTGACTGGGCATAGAACCCTTCTTCTGAACTCAATCCAAGCTCAGCTTCCGCATAAATTCAGGGTGTGCATGGACTTCCTAGAGCTTATTCATGAACTCTCCAGAGTCTAAGTTAAGAACCTCTCTACTTAGGAATTTTCTGTCTTTTCCTGATTCCACAGTTACTTCACTGAAGAAGAGAGGACTTTGTTGAAGTCTTCTCAGGCTTTCTGCACAGGGCTCTGGCCTTGGAGAAAGGATTTCCATTACTGAAGTGTCACTTGGCCCTGGGTCTCCTCCTGGGAGAGAGAAGGGTACAGCTCCCAAGGTTCCTGGCAGTTTTGAAAGAGCTCTCAGCTACAGCCAGCTTTACTTTGGCAAGTGAGGCCATCCCCTTTCTTTCCTCCTTTCCTTTCCCATGGAACCTACTCCTTCCATCTGTCTTTCAAGCTCTGCCTTAGCAATGGCAATTCAAGCCTTATTTTCTCCTTGAATGCACTCTCTAAGTGAAAGAGGCTTTTCACCAAGAATGTGGTGCTGGTGTTTCTCTTGCCAATGGGTTAAACAAAGACCTCCAAGCTGGGTAACATTTGGGCAGGCCTCTTCACACATGCCTGTCCTTCTCCGTCCCACTTGGCAAAAGCCAACAACCTACGTGTGAAAAGTATAAAGAGATGGAAAAATTCCCATGAAAAATCCTTCCCCAAAGCAATTGCAAGACAACTGTAGCATCATCTGATAAAATTATTTCTATTTTGCAGCCGTTTCATTGTTGGAGGCCACTCAGGGTTGCCAGCCTGCAGGTACATAGGTAAAAATTATAAGTGAATGCATCTGCTCAGGTTATTGCCACTGATTTTTAAATAATCTGAAGTTTGAGAGTCTGTTAATAACCCATATGTGCTGAGAGCATCCACAGACCTAATAGCATAAATATTAATCACCTCTTTTCTGCAGAGTAGCAAGTAAGAAACTAGGAAGAGCTGTTTCACTTCCAACTTGTTCCTTAAGGGCCTTAAAGTTGGTAGTCGTTCTTGTCTGGGCTCCCTAATGCCACGTTCAATCAACGAGAAAAGAAATATGCACAAAATCAGCACCCAAATACCCCGGTGCCAGCCTGTGCCCATGCTCCGGCAACGGCAGCTACCCACGCAGCAGGACTGAGCCAGGTCTAAGGTTAGCAGCGCCCCAGCTCCTCAGGTTTCTGCACATTGACTCACAACAGAATCAAAACTCCAGAGCTAAACTCTCTGGTTTCTTCTGCTTTTTCTTCTGCAATTTTCTGTTTATTTTTTTAAAACTTTTTTTATTGGCAACCATGAAAGAGATATTCACAAGACTCACAGCAAGGTCAGAGACCCCAAACAGATGGTTTTCCCTTAATTCATCAAGCTGGAGCAGAATTTAAACCAAGCTGGAGGAGTCACTCCGCCTCCGGCCACAACCTCATCTGTACATCCTGGGCTTCATCGCATTGGCTGGAAGCTGGTTTGCTTCTTCCAAGGGCCTTCTTTGAGGGCATTCATGGCTCCTGCAAGTTTGAGCATCACTCGCTCCTGGCGCTGGCAGTGCCACTCAGCCATGGATGGGAACTCACTTGGTTTGGAGCTCGTACAAATGAGAACCGTAAACCGCAACCTCGGTGAGGTCTGAAGACTCCAGAGCCTTCAGCTCAGGCACAGCCTTGCTCACCTGCTCAATGTAAGGGATTCCTCCCTCCCCAACCTCGAGAGAGTCAGAGACAGCTCTACCACCTGGTGGAGGAGAAAGCTGACCCCTGGTGTGCTTCCAGGATGCGAGACGCTCTTGAAGCCTAACACTCTCTTTCAGTGATATCACTCACATTTCCCTGAAGCTGTGTTCTTGAGTTGCATAGCGCATTGTTAGCAACGATTTTTTAAAAACATTTCTTTTAGAGATGCGATTTTGCCATGTTGGCCAGGTTGGTATCAAACTTCTGGGCTCAAGTGATCCACCCTCCGCAGCTTCCCAAAGTGTTGGGATTACAGGCTTGAGCCACCATGCCCAGCCCAACAACTATGAAAACCCTTGTGACTCCAAAGAATGAGACTGAACACCAACCTGTGATGCCAGAACAAGCACTCCACATGCCAACAGAGAGCCCTAGTGAGGAGTCAGGGTCAAGACCGGGGGAGGAAATTCTCCTCCCTTCCGCTCTCTCTCCCTCACTCCCTCCCTTCCTTTCTCTTCCTTCGCTTTCTTTCTTTTGCTTGCTTTCTTTCTCTTTCTTTCTTTTTTCTTTCTTTCTCTTTCTTCTCCCTCCCTCCCTCCCTCCCTCCCTCCCTCCCTCCCTCCCTCCCTCCCTCCCTCCCTTCCTTCCTTCCTTCCTTCCTTCCTTCCTTCCTTCCTTCCTTCCTTCTCTCTCTCTCTTTCATGGTTTTACTCTGTCACACAGGCTGGAGTACAGTGGTGCAATCACATCTCACTGCAGCCTCTACCTCCCAGGCTCAAGAAATTCTCTCACCTCAGCCTCCCAAGTAGCTGGGACCAAAGGTACATGCCATCACACCAGACTAATTTTTTTTTTTTTTTTTTTTTGCATTTTCTTGTAAAGACGAGGTTTTGTTATGTTGCCTAGGCTGATCTTGAACTCTGGGCTCAAGAGATCCACCACCTTGGACTCTCAAAGTGTTGTGATTATAGGTGTGAGCCACCACACCTGGCCTTTTTTTCTTTTTTGGTTGAGACAAGATGAAATGTCTGTTGTCCAGGTTGGAGGGCAGCCTCAACCTCCTGGACTCAGGTGATCCTGCCTCGTAAGCCTATCGAGCAGCCAGGACTACAGATGCACACGACCATCCCTGGCTAACTCTTTTGTAGAGACAAGGTCTCCCTATGTTGGCCAGGCTGATCTCATACTCTGGCTCAAGCGATCCTCTGCCTTGGCCTCCCAAAGTGCTGGAATTATAGTCAAGAGCCACCACACCCGGCCTGAAAATATTTCTAATATTTGAGTTACTCCCTGTTACTCAGGAAATATAATGTATACATAGAGAAGTCTGTATTTGAATTTTGGAAAATTTTGAAAATTATTATTATATTTATATGGTTGTATTTATTAAAATGGCCTCTATTTCATATACCTTAACAAAGAAAGGTGTATGAGTTCTGAGTTCTAAATTCTTAGATTAAATGTCTTTTTAAATTTTAAAAAAGTAATTTTCCTGGTGTTCTGTTGGGAATAGCACAGTGCTGTGGGTTTGTGAGAGACGGAGCAGAAGTGCTGCTGCTGGGTTAGAATCATCTGCTTCTTCCACAGCGAAAGAGAATTCTGGGGTGGACTCTAGTGAGATGGGACTTCGGCCAACGAAGTCATTTTTTGATGGGTTTTCACCATCGCCTCCTTCCTTTCTGTCTCAGGATCAGCAATGCTTCTGATAGGGGTTGCCGCTCAGTTCCAGGTGTGGAGAGGAGGCTGCGCTGGCTTGACATGGACACCGACGTGAACTAGAAATGAGCTGTTTATTGTGTGGGTCGTTGTGATTTCTTACCGTGGTGTGGCCCAGCCTGTCCCGCCTCTTACAACAACGGATGTTTTCCCTACACTGCAGTCCGTCCTCTGGGATGTGTCCGCCCTGAGAAGTAAGATTCATTCACAGGATGTGGTTGTTTTCTTTCTCACTGAGGGTGCATTCAAGAAGGAAGTGGGCTTTGCAAGAACTTTGGTGAAGATAAAGCCCACTCCTTATCCACGAAAAACATACAGAGCACAGGATGGGAAGTCAGATAGTCCTGAGTTTAAATCAGAGCTACTGCTTATGTGCTGGGTAGCTTTAAGGGAATTATTCAGTCTTTCTAAAAATCAAGTTTTCTTTCTATAAACTTGGAATCAAAACGCATATTCCAGTGTTTAATTGCACAGTGATTAAATTATATGCATATAATTATATGTATGAAGATATATACATATATGTATAGCCCTTAGCAGAGTATGACAGACCAACGCTATGGGTTTATGAGATGTATATATGCGTATGAATATGTATGCCATATATAAACCCATAGCGTTGGTCTGTTACAGTCTGCTGAGGGCTATATATATAACTTCATATATACGCACACACATATGTATTCACATATATTCAGGTATATATGAGGTCCTCTATATGTATATATTCATATGTATCCACATATAGTTTATATATAGGAATATACATGGAGGAATATGTACATATATATACGAATTCCTTAGCAGAGTGTAAGAGCTTAACATTTCGGCTTTAAGAGCTGTAGGAGCTCAGTAAATGGTAAGTCTTGTGAACATTCACATATACGCACATAGAGACATTTAAATGGCTTATGTACACAGTCTGAATGCTGACACAACATTCGCAATAAGGAGAAATGCGATCATTGGAAGCACTCACGAGCTGGAAGAACCATCTGCATCATATGTTTGCTCTAATTGCAGTATGGCTAGATAGCAGTTTAAGAGATTCAACAATTTAACATTTGAGAAGCCAAGTTGATTTGAGACTGTTTTTAGAAACAGAATATGCTCATAAGTGGTAGAATTTCGAGAGACATATTCAAACCAAGCCACCAAATCATTTCAGTCACCTTTCAAAGACGCACCTACTAATGGCATGGTTCCAGATGTGTCAATGACAAATGAGATTAAAAAAAAAATCACGTTCTTTCTACCCACAACTAGCGATTTAAGTCTGGTGATAGATACAGGTGTGTGAACAATTAATTATATTAGGTGACAAACAGTGGCCTAAACAACATGCTCAGGCTACACCAGCCGAGTGTAACGTGCTGGTGGCCAGGGTGGTCAGGGTGGCCCAGCACAAGGGCGCTAGCACCAATGAGAGCAGCTCCACTGTCACTTCATAAAGACGAGCCCTTCCTTGCTGGCATTTGGTAAGCTTTAGTCTTGCTCCAAAACTACAGCAGTGGCAGTAACAGCCACCTGTAACATGGCAGGGCTCTCCGTACATCCCGACATGTGCCAGATGCTGAGGGGAGTGGTGAGACGGGAGTGTGAGCCCCACCTGTGCGAACCTATGCTGACCAACCCCGAGATTAGGCTCCATCAGGGCAGCAGGGTTAGTCTTGGGCAGGATGCCAGACTTTTCTGAGAAGGTAATGCTCAAACGGAGACCAGGAGGAGAGTAGAAGACGGTGTTTCAGGCGTAGACAATAGTCTCTGTGAAAGTGGTGATTCGGGGAAGAGCTTTGAGTCTTGAGCTGTGGGAGGAAGACCCATGAGGCTGGAACAAGGCAAGAAAGGGGCAGAGTGATGGGGGAGAAGGCTGGAAACACCAGGGTGGGCCAGGCAGATCCCAGCGGCTGTGCACCTGCTGACCAGGTGCCATGGGAAGTCTTTGGAGGGCTTTAAGAAGGGGAAAGAGGCTGGGCGCGGTGACTCACACTGGTAATCCCAGCACTTTGGAAGGCTGAGGTGGGCGAATCACCTGAGGTCTAGGAGATCAAGACCATCTTGGCCAACATGGTGAAACCCCATTTCTACTAAAATACAAAAAATTTAGCTGGGCTTAGTAGTGTGCACCTGTAGTCCCAGCTACTTGGGAGGCTGAGACAGGGGAATTGCTTGAACCTGGGAGGCGGAGGTTGCAGTAAGTTGAGATTGTGTCACTGCACTCCAGGTTGGCAACAGAGCAAGGCTCCATCTCAAAAAAAATAGAAGTTGAGGAGGGGGGGAAGACACCATTTTACTCATGTTTTTAAAAGTTTTTTAATTAAACATGGAATTACCATGTGATCCAGCAGTTCTACTTCTGGGTATATACCGAAAAGAATTAAAAGGAGGGACTCAAAATTATTTATGCCCTAGTGTTTTAACAGTGTTAGTCACAATAGCCAAAATGTGGAAGCAATCCAGGTGTCCACTGATGGATGAATGGATAGGCAAGATGTGCTCTATCCACACCGTGGAATATTATTCAGCCTTAAAAAGGGAAGGAAATCCTGGCACATGCTACAGCGTGGATGAGCCTTGAAGAGAACACACTGAGTGAAATAAGCCAGATAAAAGGACAAATACTGTATGGTCCCACTCCCATGAGGTCCCTAGAGTAGTCCAATTCAAGGAGACAGAGAGTAGAGAGGTGGTTGCCAGGGGGAGGGGGAGAGAGGAGAATGGCGAGTTATGTTCCATGGGGACAGAGTTTCAGTTCAGGAAGAAGTAAAAATTCTGGAGGTGGATGGTGGGAATGTTTGCACAATTTGAATGCCAGGTGTGGTGGCAGATGCCTGTACTCTCAGCTACTCAGGAGGCTGAGGCAGGAGAACTGCTTGAACCTGGGAGGCAGAGGTTGCAGTGAGCTGAGATTGTGCTACTGCACTCCAGCCTGATCTCCCAAACAAGACTCTCAAGAAGAAAGAGAAAGAAAGAAAAGAAACAAGAAAGAAAAAGAACTAAAGAAACAAATAAAGAAAGAAACAAAGAAAGAAAGAAAGAAAGAAAGAAAGAAGAAAGAAAGAAGGAAAGAAAGGTAATTTTCCAAGAGTGACCACTACTAAAAATTAGTATTTCAGCTGGGAGACTTTACCAGCCACACACTTAGATTAGGATGGGGTTATCATAATCTATGCTGGCATGAGAAGTGGGTGTCAGCTGAGGGCTGTCAGAACAACAGGTGGGGAAAGAGCTCAGCTGCAGGTCCCAGTGAGACTTGAGATGCTGTGGATTGTGGATGGGCTTTCCACACCTAGGAATTTAGGCCAGGTTTTGAAGCTTGGCATCAGCACAGACTGGAGGGCAAGGAGAAGGACTTAGGACCCAAATCCAAAAGAATGAAGTAGGAAGCCAGGTGGAGGTGGAAAGGTGGACAGGGGCTATGCATGTTTCTCAATCCAGGTTCAGGGCACCGGGAGTTCTGTGATGGAGTGCCAGGTGTAGGAAGGATGTGCTAGACCCAGAGGTGCTGCATTCTGAGAGCCTCTTGCCTCCTGGGGGAGAGACCAGGAGAGGAGGCTGATAGTCCTGATGCTGGCCCCAGGCCTTCTGTGGCAGAGGATTCTCCTCTGCTTCCTGCCCAGCCCTGCATCTGAGGCGAGAATGTAGACAGGCCCAAAGCAGGGCGAGGATATGTGTATGTGCATATGTGTAGATGCATGAGTGTACACATTTGTTCACATGCACGCACACATCTGTGTATTTCTGTATGTGCATGTGCATTGTGTGTGTGCACACACGTTGCTTCCAATAATATCCCCATGGCTGGCTTTCCGGCTGCAAGCAGCCACATCTGGAGGCAGGGAGCTGAGCCAGGTGAACTGTCGATACCCATCTTGCTTTATTACGATGTGATTCGGTGACTCTGCAGAGAGCACTCCGGGCAAAGTATGACATGGGATCTTTGCCAGCCATGGACTTGCCAGCAGTCTTCTGCAGCCATGTCTTCTGGGCCAGCCTTGTAGGGAGTTGTCCCTGCTCCTGCCCAGCCTAGTGCCATCTGGTTGCTCTCAGGCTCCAGGCTGCTGGGTGGAGAACTGCAGTGGCAGAGTGTGCTCATCCAGATGCTTAATAAGCAGGCACCCTCCCTATGCCAAAGCAATGCCCGCAAGAGAGGACTCTGATGGGTTGTGGGTGAGGGCAGTGTCAGCTTTGCCATCCCTGATCTCATCGTGACCTCCCAGGTAGAAGAAGGGGAGCCCCTGGCAGAGGCTGTGGCCTCCTCCTCACTAGCGGGATGTGGACTTTTCCTCCTAGTTATGAAAGGACTACGGGGTATGTCACACCTCAATGGGGGTCTAAGAAAATAAAACTGCCACCCATGTTTGCCTGTGATGACCCTGGTAGAATTGCCATCCCGGGAGCAAGGATAGAGACCTGCCCCTCCCTCCCTTTGCTTTTCTTTCCATGTGCTTGTTCCCATTGGGAGTGGGAGGATGAGTTTAGAGAGTTTTGAGATGATGCCTTCATGTAGGTGAAGTGAGGATGGGTTTAGAGAGTTTTGAGATGATGCCTTCGTTTAGGTGAAGCAGAGCTTGGCCGAATCTAAAGTCAAGCTCCAGAGATGGAGCCTTGCTAGAGAGCTGCCTCTGGGAGCTAGGATTGCCCAAAAGAACCAAGGAGGAGGAAAGAAAGTGGGAAAGAGGTAGGCAGGGGAGCAGGCTGCCCAAGAAGCAAGGTGGAGAAGCTGTCACAGGGCACCTGGCGTTTTACAAGGGCTTTTGGGGGAGGAACTGTATCAGAGGCTGTTACTTGCCTACTCATTGTCTGTTCTTCCCTTCTGTTGCTGTCGCAGGAAGGCAAACATGTGCCCAGCTAAAAGCCTGTATTTCAGTGTCCCTCGCTGGACGTGTGGCCAAGGAGATGTAAGTGGAAGCCATTGGATGGGATTCTGGGAGGGCTTTGTGAGGGGGGTGACTAAGCTGGAAAAAGTGACCGTTTGAACTTCTGTCTTCTCCTTTTTCCTATCTGCAATGAAGTGGGATGACTGGAGCTCCAGCAGCCATCTTGTGCCCATGAGGTGAATTCTAGAGAACAAAATCCCACAGCTGAAGGTGGTGGAGCACAATGATATGAGGAACCTGGTTCCCGCTGACAAAGTGGAGCCCTCCTATGCTCCCTGGTCATCTATCCTCAGACCGTGCCGTGTGAAAGAAAGTCATCCCCTAATGTGACTCAGCCATGCTTACTTTGGGTCTCTGCTTACAGCAGACAAAAGCCATTTCTAGATCATTCAGGAGACTAGGCAGTTCAGGCTAGCCTGCTTGCAAGACAAGCTTTCTCAGCTGAGCTTAGGTCTTCACAGAGGACTCTTATTTAGGGAATTAGAGAAAAACTCAAAGCAAAGAGGAATCTAGATGAAAGTGGATTGTGGTGAAAGCTGAACAGTCAAAAATAAACAGCAGCGTTGGCAACAAAACGCGCTTGTTCAGGCTGCTCAAACACTTCAGAGTCCTATTTCCTCAGAATCGGGATTGAGAATGACCTTAAATATCATTTAATCTGTTTAGCTCCGCTCCCCTCTTTTCTCTCTTCCCCTTTTCTCAGCCACAGAAAATCAGAGTTCTTCTGTTTGTGCCTGCTTGCCTTTGGCTGCCCATATCTGAGCAAAGTTGCTCCATATGACCCTGTGAGATTGGCAGATCACAAGATTTGTCCCATTTCATTCAATGCCAGATCCCAGAAGTAGCAACTCTTCTTTTGCTGATGCCAATCCATCTATTCGTCTATCTCTCCATCCATCTATCTACTTATCCATCCATCCATGCATCTACCCATCCATCGATCCATCCGTCTTCAACTATCCCTCCATCCACTTATCCATCCATCCATCCATCTGCCCATCCGTTCATCCATCCATCCATTTGTCCATCTGTCCATCAATCCATTCATCTATCCATCCATCTTCCCATCTCTCCATCCATCCATCCATCTTCATCTATCCATCCTTCCATCTACTTATCCATCCATCCATCTATCCATCGATCCATCTTCATCTATCCATCCATCCACTTATCCATCCATCCATCCATCCATCCATTCGTCCATCTGTCCATCGATCCATTTGTCTATCCATCCATCTGTCCATCCATCCATGTATCTTTTTTTTTGAGACAGAGTTTCGCTCGTTACCCAGGCTGGAGTGCAATGGCGCGATCTCGGCTCACCACAACCTCCACCTCCTGGGTTCAGGCAATTCTCTTGCCTCAGCCTCCTGAGTAGCTGGGATTACAGGCACACGCCACCATGCCCAGCTAATTTTCTTTTGTATTTTTAGTAGAGACAGGGTTTCACCATGTTGACCAGGATGGTCTCGATCTCTTGACCTCGTGATCCACCTGCCTCGTCCTCCCAAAGTGCTGGGATTACAGGCTTGAGCCACCACGCCTGGCCCCATGTATCTATTTTCTCTGTCTCTCAATCATCTATTTATTGGTTATTTTAGGCACTGCAGCTACACAATTTAAATCCATAATCTTCACAAGAACCCTGTGAGCCTTGTTATCTCCATTCCACAAATTAAGAAATGAGGCTACAGATATTGAAGTAATTTGCCTAAGGTCAAAGAGCTAAATGCAGGATAGGATTTGGAAGTGTCTACACGGTTCCAAAGAACCTGACGCACTGAACCGCTTTGCTAGGCTGGCTCGTCATGAGTTACATTTCCACATGACAGGAAAATAGAGAATTCATTGCAGCCAACACACACTGATTGCACGGACATAAAACAGATCTTATGAAAACATTTATTTGATGGACTTTCAGGTAAAAGACTTTGTGCACAACCTATCATGATATACTCTGGTCTCAAAAACTTGCTTTAAAAGCCCATAAAAAAAGGTGTGATGTTAAAAGTCATTGGGTCAGATGTTAAAAGTCATCTTATCTGCTTGCCTCCTCACTGGCTAAATGTCTCATCTCAAACAGCGGGTAGGAGGACATCATCAGAGTGGCAGATCCTAATGAAATGGCCAATAGAAATCGACCCTTGTTAGATTGTGCCTTTTTATAGCAATTCAAATATATTCACCTTTCAAATCATGTCTTTTCCAGGTATTATAACCACATCGGAGAAAGCCAGGTTAGCCCGTGTTTTAGAGGATGGTCCTTTTCTGGATAGCAGGCTATAAACTCGTCCTATGGCAGAGGTTAGCGTATATACTCTTGGCCCTTGAAAGGATGTGGTATTTTGGTGTTGACCTTCAAATCAACCCTGATGTTCCATAATACGTAGTTATTTTAAATTTTGCAGAGGTACAGATTCAAGGGCCATCTGAGATGAAATATTTGGCTAATGAGGAGGCGAGGGCATTAGCACCTGTAAAGCTCCTCAGGTGATGAAACGTTGTTAAAAGTACAGATAGCAATTTGGTAAGAGACAAAAACTTAATGAAATTTGCAAAGACAATTACCTTGTGGGATGGGGATATTTATAGGAATGGTGGGCAGAGGCTGGCGGGGAAAGCCAGGAACCTGGAGAATCCTTAGGATCCAGTCATTTACAGCTCCCCCAGGTCTGGGAAGACATTATTTCCCAGTTCCCAAGGGGCCATTCACTCTGATTTGGAAAAAAATCATTTAGGATTAGCATAAAAATGGTGAAACTTGTGTTCGCGCTAGCAGCACATACACTAAACAGTGACGAAACTTGCTCATCAACCTGACCCTTTAGGCATAGCTAAATATTACCACACACCATATTATACTGTCATAATTTCCCACCATTTTTTGTTCCTCAGAATAAGGCAACATATAAATATTCTATATTATTGGTTTTGTGTGTGTGTGTGTGTGTGTGTGTGTGTTTTGAGACAGGATCTCACTGTCACCCAGGCTGGAATGTAGTGGTGCCAACATGGCTCGCTGCAGCCTTGACCTCCTGGGCTCAAGTGATCCTCCCACCTCAGCCTTCCAAGTAGCTGGGACTACAGGCATGCACCACAATGCCCAGCTAATTTTTAAGATTATTTTGTAGAGACAGGATCTTGCTATGTTGCCCCGGCTTGTTTCCAGCTCCTAGCCTCAAGTGATCCTCCCCCATCAGCCTCCCAAGGCACTGGCATGAGCCACTGTGCCAGCCTATGTTGTTTATTTTTGCTGCTTCTGTTGGGGAAGAATTTGGTGTTTTATCTGAGAGAGGTGACAGGAACCTTGGCCAGATGCCACCTCTAGAAAGTCAGTGTCCTTCTGTTGGTGCCTGCTTGCCTCATAGCTGCCCATATTGGAGCAGAGTTGCTCATTTGCTTCTCTAGGCGCATCTTGTGTGGAATCTCAGGCCCCAGACAGCAGGCCTGCAAATTACACAGTCAGCAGCAAGGCAGCAGTGATCTATGGAAGAGATTCAAATCCAGAGAAAAAAAACGGGAGCCTCTAACTGCATCTGAAAATCAGCGAGAAAGAGCCGGAGTCCTGCGAAACAGTGCAGCGGGCCCTTCAGCATTGGCTCTTTCTGCTCAAACCTGTCACCACTCACACAGGAGTGGTCATTGAAACAAGGGATTTCTCCTCAGGTGAATGACAAAGAAACAGATTTGGATTTGCTCAGGCATCTGGAGAGGAGGGTGCCTTCCCCACTTTTATTTTTTGAGATGGGAGTTTTGCTCTTGTTGCCCAGGTTGGAGTGCAATGGCGTGATCTTGGCCCACTGCAACCTCTGCCTCCAGGGTTCAAGTGACTCTCCTGCCTCATCCTCCTGAGTAGCTGGGATTACAGGGGCGTGCCACCATGCCCAGCTAATTTTGTGATTTTAGTAAAGACAGGGTTTCTCCATGTTGGTCAGGCTGGTCTCGAACTCCCGACCTCAGGTGATCCGCCTGCCTCGGCCTCCCAAAGTGCTGGGATTACAGGCATGAGCCACTGCGCCCGGCCAGAGGGTGCACCTTGACTTCGCCCTCCACTGTGCAGGAGGGGGGTGCCTGGAACATTGCCACCACAGCGAGAGTCTTCACCTACCACCCTCCAGCCCCGTCCCTTTCTGCCACCTCTGCAACTTTTCCAGTTAAATTTTAAAAAAGTAAAAGTGGGGACAAGAATGACCTGCCTGCCTGTGTTTGGCCCTTTTTCTGAGTTTTTGTGTTCTGTTTGAAATCAAACTTATGTTTTCTTCTGAAATGAATGACAGGGAGAGAAAGAAGCAAAAGCCACCCAGGCTTGAAAAGTGGTAGCTTCTTGCCGCCGGCTTCCTGCCGGCGCCAAGCCAGGGGGAGCTCCGCGTGTCCTCAGCTCACCCTTGCTGGGCCACGCTGCATGCAAACAAGAAGCTGTTTCAGTGTCTGCCCATCTGAGACGCTGACATGAAAAAGGAAGAAAGAAAGGAAAAAACCACCATCACCAGCAATAAAAAAAACCCCAAGACTGATGAATTCTCATAGATTGCAGCAAAGCAGGGGGCCTGGTGGAGACACATCCTGTTATGCTGTTTAGGTTGTCCCCCAAGCCGATAAGCTCCCTCGTGAATGGCACCAGTTGTGAGGGGTGACAAAGAATTCAAAACACTCACAGGACAATTTTCCGAACCCTGGGTCTCTCGGAATGCTCTTTTTTAGGCTAATTGGTTTTGATGGAAACTATGCCCGCTAGGCCTATTTTTAGGCCAGATTTGAAGTCAGTGCAGTTGCTATTTGATCTTGCACGAACTACGGAGATGTCACCAGCAGCTTTGCTAATTAAGAGCTGTGGCCTGGTGGGATGTTGACCTGAAGCCAGGGCTCCAGCACAAGTATCTCTGTTGTGACTTGCGTCTGTTCTTTTGTTTTGTTTTGTTGAGACGGAGTCTTGCTCTATTGCCCAGGCTGGAGTGCAGTGGCAGGATCTCAGCTCATGCAAACTCCGACTCCCAGGTTCAAGTGATTCTCCTGCCTCAGGCTTCCGAGTAGCTGGGATGACAGGTGCCCGCCTCCACACCCAGCTAATTTTTGTATTTTTAGTAGAGATGGGGTTTCACCATGTTGGCCAGGATGGTCTCGATCTCTTGACCTCATGATCTGCCTACCTTGGCCTCCCAAAGTGCTGGGATTATAGGCGTAAGCCACTGTGCCACAGCAGGGGTTGGCTTGGGCAATGAGAAAATGGCATTGCTTTTGTGCCCACTCTGACCCGGGCACAAAGTCACCCCATTTACCAAACCTCAGTGCTCTGAGACAGCATAGGATTCCCTAGCAGGTTGTCCAGTCTTTTCCTGGAACCACTGTCCATTTACCTCCTTGAGTCGTCTGGGCAGTAAAAGGTGGCCTCCTGCCCAGTCACTGCAGTGTGATCTCCCTGCTGTGTCACGCGTGGCTTCTGCCCTCTTCCCTGGCACCTCTGCCACTCCAGGTTAGGCCTGTGCTGCTGCCCCTTCTATGCCCACCTGGAAAGCCCGAAAGCTTCTTGTGCCTTCTACTTCAGCTAGGGAGCTTCTTACCATGTCTCATAGCCAGCTTCTCCAGAGGGGACTCTCAGAGCTGACTGTACTTCCCTACCCCAGCCTCTTTGTCCTGGGATGGGGTCAAAATAGGAACAGTCACAGCTTCATGCTTTCAGGAAACCACTTTCTCTTCCATCTTCTTTGGCCTGCTCCGACAGCCAGACTTCTTAAAAATATTTTCCTACAGGCTCATGCAAATAGGGGATATGGCTGAGCATCTGTTTCCAAGTCCTAACACAGGTTATGAAAGCCCAGAATCATGCTGCCCGGGTAGCAGATTCGTTTAGCCAGAACACACCCAGAGGACCTACTCATGATGGTGTGGCTGAATTCCACATGCTCCTAACAATGTCCGGCCCTGACCTGACTCCCAGTACTGATTCCCAGGGAGGGCATAATGGAGAGCCCGTCTTTGGGGCGGAAGATGATTTGTGCACAAGAGTCAAATTCAGGTTGTGTGTTGTGGGTATAGAAATGGCAATGCCCAGTTGTCTGTTAGGTATATGGGTCTGCTGTACAGGAGAAAAATCAGAACAGAATTTCTATTTGGAGTATTTCTTTTAGAGGCTGGGGAACTGAAACCACAGGCAAGTAAGAATGTATAAGGAACCAGACAATCTTCATGAAACAGCTGCTCCAGATTGGTGTCAGGAGCTGGACAAGGGGATCCAAGAATGTCTTGTCATATGAGCCATTGTCATATAAACAAAAAGCCAGGGTGTTCTGGCCCTCATGGAGTTTTGATTCTAGCAGATATAGACATTAATCAAATAATCCCCAGAGCAAAGTATGATAAGTATAGAGAAAGGAAAAATATACAGAACTTTTAACAGCTAAGACCTGAGAAAGCTGACCAGTCTGCAAACAGGTTCAGCTTCCCTAGGGAAGTGACTTTGGAGCTGTGGTGATGGGTGACTCAGAGTTAACCAAGTTATGGGAGGAGGGAGGAGGAGATGGGGAAGACTTTTCGGGCAGAAGCCAGAGCATGTGCAAAGATCCAGTGGCAAGAAGCAGCCTGGTGCAGGGGAGGAACGGAGAGACATACAGGCTGGCTGGAGTGCAGAGAGGGAGACGGGCAGGGAGGTGGTTGGACAGGGAAGCAGGGATCAGATCATGAGGCCTTGGAGAAGCAGGAAGGCATCATGGTGACTAATGTCAGAGGCAGGGGAGGACAAGCAGGGACAGACAGGGACACAGAGCTGGGAAGATGCTAAAATGCAGCAGTTCGTGCTTGGAAAGATTGTGGCCTGGTTCTTCCATTGCCGTGATTGGTTGTTTCTCTCCCATATTGTTTTTCTAATTTGTTTTGACTAATGGAGAAGATCAGGAGCTCAAAAGATAGAGGTTGTTTACAGCACTCAGTTTGGCTGAGCTGCCGTAGGTTAATGGGTTTAGACTCTTTAAGGGGATTAGGCTTTTGCTCAGAGACCAGTGGAGTATTCTAACCAGCCTATCTTGTGAAGGTGGTACATTAAAAAGTAGGTTTGTGGCCGGGTGCGGTGGCTCAAGCCAGTAATCCCAGCACTTTGGGAGGCCGAGGTGGGTGGATCACGAGATCATGAGATCAAGACCATCCTGGTCAACATGGTGAAACCCCGTCTCTACTCAAAATACAAAAAATTAGCTGGGCATTGTAGTGCGTGCCTGTAATCCCAGCTACTCGGGAGGCTGAGGCAGAATTGCCTGAACCCAGGAGGCGGAGGTTGCGGTGAGCCGAGATTGCGCCATTGCACTCCAGCCTGGGTAACAAGAGCAAAACTCCGTCTCAAAAAAAAAAGTAGGTTTGTCTGACTTACCAAATTAAAATGTGGTGCATCAAGTTAAATTTGAATTTCAGATAAATAACAGCTAATTTTAGATGTGTCAGATAAAGAATGAATATGTTTTTAGTACAATATGGGATAATGAATATTTTCAGATAAATAGATGCCCTGTATTCTGTGTGGCAAACATAACTAGAGAATCAATGTTAGTGATCAAACTGAGAAGACTTTTGAGAAATTATCAGCAGTAAATACAAATATACATTTCCATCCATCCATCCATCCATCCCTGTTGAGATCCAACTATGTGTCAGACACCTTTTGGGGTTTGAGGGTATTGTAATCAATAAGACAGACAAACTCCCTGCCCTCATAGTATTTACATTCCAGGAGAAAAATGTTCATCTTAGAGAGGTTGTAACAAACAAATCTTCAGAAATAACTGTTACATCCAAAATAGAGGAATGTAAAAATAAATCATAATATGATGGGCTAAGTCGCAGCCATTACAAAAATCCTGTTTTGAGGGCTATTAAATGTTATGGTGAATTGATTCCAATATAAAACCAAATAAAATAAAAGCTCTGCAAAACTATGCATCAGGTATCATGTAAATTTTATAAACCACAATTACAAGACCACCTCAATATCTAGAAAAATACACCAAAGGTGGCCGCATCTGAGGGCTAGAATTATTCATAACATTTTATTATTTACATTTTTATTTTCTTTTTCACACTTTCTATAAAGAATTATGAATGATTTTTATATTTAGAAAACCTTTTTTATTCTCTTCTTCTTTTTCTGAGACAGAGTCTTGCTCTGTCCCCCAGGCTGGAGTGCAGTGGCGCAATCTCAGCTCACTGCAACCTTCACTTCCCCTGTTCAAGCAATTCTCCTGCCTCAGCCTCCTGAGTAGCTAGGATTATAGGTGTGTGCCACCACGCCCAGCTACTTTTGTATTTTTAGTAGAGATGGGGTTTCCTCATGTTGGCCAGGCTGATCTCGAACTCTTGACCTTGTGATCCACCTGCCTCGTCTCCTAAAGTGCTAGGATTACAGAATGTGAGCCACCGTGCCTGGTTGAAAACCTTTTGATATTTGTAGACATGTATTACCTGTGGGCTCCACAGCAGCATGGAAAAGACTAAAGATTTGTGTCAGCTTTGACTTTGCCATTAATTATCAGGGCTAACGTACAGCAAGTCATGCCACTTACCTGGGCCTCACTTTCTTTGGATTTAATTATGGACTAACCTCTGATTTTCTGTGTAATTAAGAAACAAACTAAATTGAAAAAAAGTATGCCTTTGTCTTATAGAAGAGTCCAGAGACACCATCATTAGACTGTGTGTCTGTAAAACCCACATACCGTATTCTTTTGTTTTATCTAGCTGTTATATTGCCTATAACTTACTTTTAAATATTTTAGTATAGACAGGTGTGTGTGCACACACATGTGTGTGCGTTCTTAATCCTCTGTAAGGTTGTAGCTAAAATTTAAAGTACCTTAACTGGACACACATCTTTTAGGAGTGGTTGGTAGTATTTGAAGGACTACTATCAGGCTTGAGAGTTCTAGAGGGTTCCCTAATTAACCTAATAAATATAAGAAGTTATTCTGTGCTGGGATATTAAGGAGTGTTGAAGATACGTGAGTTGGGTAGAGCTATTTAAAGACACCCTGTCCCTGCATGAGTAGGGTTTAGGAATCTAGTAATCCTGGATTAGAAACTTAGTTTGGAGTGTGCCTAAACCAGGTATGCCAATCTGTCTCGTGTCCAAATACTAACAGAGGGTTCTAGCAACTTGATCCCATTAGCATGTCAGCTGAAGACTACTGCTAGAATGCTGTTAGGTTTGTTTTGAGTTAATATTTCATGGAAATTTCTGAGCCCTGGTACTGTATTTAAACTCACACAAATGGCTGTGTGCCTGTTTGTAATAAATATTTCTCTGTGTGGTAGAATTTGGTCTGGGGTTTGCTGTCTAGCTGTCTAAATCATGTATCTCTTAGTATCACAGTAATGGGTGAGGAGATACGTAGTTCTTCTCACCTTTAATTGTTGGATGTGTGAAGAACCTGGTAATTTTGAATGACTGAATGGATTGAGGTGAGTTGGCATATTAACAATAAACTTTATTTTACAGAAATATTTTACTTACTCGAACTTTTAAAATTGTTATAAAACTAAAAACATATAAATTATCTCCCCAAACCAACACAGATTCCTACTACTTAGATTTATTATGTTTCTATGACCTATCTTTGATTTTTAGAATAGAGCTCTGTTCCACAACCTCTCATTTTGGGGTTATAGGTGTGATAATTCATTAAAAATGAATGCTAGGTTTGAAAAGCATCACCTGAATGCTAAATATTCAATAGGCAGCCTAGTTCCGGCTCTCTGGAGAGAGTAAAGGGAGGTTTTGGCAAAAAGTCTTGGAAATAACCAGCTGATCTTACTGCCTTCATTTTGATGAGATGATTTGTGTTTATGCACATATTGAATTATGCTTAAATACATGGAAATTTTAAAACGCCAAAGGAAGGGGGAAAAATGCTACATAGCACACATTTTTAAGTGTTTTTGTTTTTTCTGCTAAACTCAAACCACTTGAAAGCTAGGAAGAGTCACTGCTGGAATTGACAATAGATGCTTATAGTCATTATGGGAGCTAAGCTCTATCATTGTATCCAGCCCGGGACCTCTACATAAGCTGGTTCCTACAAAGTTGGTGACGTGAAGCGAATGCTTGGGAGCTGGGACTGGGATTTAATTTCCCTTCGTCAGGGGCCAGCTCTGGGACCTCAGGTGAATGCAGCCTCTCTGGGTAGCCAAGTCATCACCTACAGAATGCAGGGCCTGTTAAATGACTTCACCTGGTGCACAATAAGTGAAAAATCAGCCAACCCTCTCAGGGGACTTTGTAAGAACGCAGGTAACTTGGGGAGGTGATGTGGCAGAGTGGGCGGAGTGAGCATTTGGTAATAACCAGTGTGACCTTGGGCAAGTCATTTACTTTCTAAACCTTCGAACTCAGTAAAACTGAACTAAGAAAGAATGAATTACTTTGCAAGGTTGCTGTGAGCATTGTAAGTATGCAGTCAATTCACTCATTTATTTGGGATGATATTCTGAGCAGAGTAGACCTGTAGATGCATGAGACACGATTTCTATCTTTGAGGATTTTACAGTGGAAAATGTAAATAAGCAACCACAAAGCGTGGTAAGCCCTCCCCTAGTCAGCCTAGAAAAGAGTTTTAAGAGGAGGTGAAGCAGGAGCTGATTTTTTTGAGACCGAGTTTTGCTCTTGTTACCCAGGCTGCAGTGCAGTGGCGCGATCTCGGCTCCCCGCAACCTCCGCCTCCTGGGTTCAAGAGGAGCTGATTCTTCAGGGTTACGTGTCCGGTGGACAACAGGAAGGGAAGCGCAGGTGTGAAGGTATGTATGCATGCGTATTACAGAACTCCTCCGCAGTATTGTTGTTGTTGTCGGTGCTATTGTTCTTGCCTTTGAGGGCTTGTAACATCGTTGGGAAAATGTGATGGTAAACCTGGAAAATGCCACAGAAACAGCGACAACTCCAAGCTGTGCACTTGAGGGCTAGGGGCCTGTTGGAGAAATAATAACGAAACAACAGATAACGTTGTCTGAACATTTACTGTGTGTGGTGGAATATAATATCTTCAACAGATTTTTTGAGTGTTTTTATAGGTAGGCTGATTCCTCAGCCTGAACCTTATTTGCAATTAAGGCTACCCCGTGCAGCAGAGTTCAGAAGGCAGGAGTTAGATGCAGGTGAAATCGTAGTCCTAAAGAAAGGGGAGGTAAAAGAGAAAAGCTGGACTTTTTCTGTGCCTGGATATATTACAGTATCGGGAGTAGGACAGGATGAAGGCGGAGTGAGCATTTGGTAATAACCAGTGTGACCGTGGGCAAGTCATTTACTTTCTAAACCTTCGAACTCAGTAAAACTGAACTAAGAAAGAATGAATTACTTTGCAAGGTTGCTGTGAGCATTGTAAGTATACAGTCAATTCACTCATTTATTTGGGATGATATTGAGCAGAGTAGACCTGTAGATGCATGAGACACGATTTCTATCCTTGAGGATTTTACAGTGGAAAATGTAAATAAGCAACCACAAAGCGTGGTAAGCCCTCCCCTAGTCAGCCTAGAAAAGAGTTTTAAGAGGAGGTGAAGCAGGAGCTGATTTTTTTGAGACCGAGTTTTGCTCTTGTTACCCAGGCTGCAGTGCAGTGGCGCGATCTCGGCTCCCCGCAACCTCCGCCTCCTGGGTTCAAGAGGAGCTGATTCTTCAGGGTTACGTGTCCGGTGGACAACAGGAAGGGAAGCGCAGGTGTGAAGGTATGTATGCATGCGTATTACAGAACTCCTCCGCAGTATTGTTGTTGTTGTCGGTGCTATTGTTCTTGCCTTTGAGGGCTTGTAACATCGTTGGGAAAATGTGATGATAAACCTGGAAAATGCCACAGAAACAGGAACTCCAAGCTGTGCACTTGAGGGCTAGGGGCCTGTTGGAGAAATAATAACGAAACAACAGATAACGTTTTCTGAACATTTACTGTGTGTGGTGGAATATAATATCTTCAACAGATTTTTTGAGTGTTTTTATAGGTAGGCTGATTCCTCAGCCTGAACCTTATTTGCAATTAAGGCTACCCCGTGCAGCAGAGTTGGGAAGGCAGGGAGTTAGATGCAGGTGAAATCTTAGTCCTAAAGAAAGGGGAGGTAAAAGAGAAAAGCTGGACTTCTTCTGTGCCTGGATATATTACAGTATCGGGAGTAGGACAGGATGAAGGCAGAGTGAGCAGGTAAGAGATATTTAATTCATTTATATTTAATGTGCTAATATTTACTTCTGCAATCTAATTTTATGCTCTTTAATTGTCCTGAAATTTCTATGTCTTTTTTGCTATTTTTAAGGGGAGGGACTCGTTTTTTTTCCTCATTCTACTTTTTTCTTTTCCAGTAGTTACAAAGTTACATATTTCTATTCACTTACTGTTCACACTAGAAATTATAACACTCACACTGAATATATCAAAGTCTAACAGTTAGTCAATGTCTTTGTCCTCTGGTGCACCAGATTATTATTTGTAATTCTTAGGATTTGTCAGACATCCTGAATCTGTAGGTTTCTATCATCATGACCAAAAATTCAGAGACAGTCTTTTTAAATGCCTTTGTGATATTTTCTCTCTTTCTCCTGTTGATCTGTTCAATTCTCTTTTCGAACTATGATTAAATTAATGCTTTATTTTCTTTATTCGACATGACACTTATTCTCTTTTACTTTTTTTTTTTTTTTTCCACCATCCAGTAATGGCTATAAGCAAACTTACTCTATTTCACATTTTTGTCCCCTTTAACTCTCTGGGTTATCTTCTGCGTCATTTCTTCAGATAAACACTCCAATTTATTTTCTCTTTTTAGCAGCTGTGTTCAAATTGCTATTAAACTTGTTTATTCACTTTGCTTTAAAATATTTCAGTTTTTTTTTTTCTAGAAATCTCTCCCCACAGGTTCATGTTGGTTTTGTGTCCTGCAACTTTACTGAATTTATTAATTAGTTCTAATAGTTTTTTGGTGGCGTTTCTAGGGTTTTCTATATATAAGCTCATGCTGATCGAAAATAGGGACAATTTAACTTCTTTTCCAAATTGCATGACTTTTATTTTTTTTCTCTTGCCTAATTGCTCTGGCCAGGACTTTCAATGCTATGTTAAACAGAACAGGGCTTGCTCCTGACTTTTTCTAAATCTTAGAGGAAAAGCTTTCAACTTTCCCCCGTTGGGTATGATGTTAGCTGTGGGGTTTTCATATATGGACTTGATTGTGTACGTTTCTTGTATAACTAGTTTGTTGAACATTTATATTATTACAGAATGTTGAATTTTGTCAATTTTTTGTGCATCTATTGAAGTGATTCATTTCACTGATTAGCTTATGTTGAACCATCCTTACACATATTCAATGAATCTCATTTGATCATAGTGAATGATTTTAATTTGCTGTTGAATTTGATTTTATTGAGAATTTTTATGTGTGTGTTCAGAGATATTGGCCTGTAGTTTTAAATATTTGGTAGTGTCTTTGGCTCTGGTATTGGGATAATGCTGCCCTTGTAAAATGAGTTTTGAAGTATTCCCTCCTCTTCAATTTTTGGAGGAGTTTGAGGAAAAATTGCTATCCTTCTTTAAAAGTTTGGCAGAATTCAGCAGTGAAGGCATAGGTCCTGGGTCTTTTTTCCTAAGTTATTCAATTTGTTAGTATATAATTGTTCATAATAGTCTCTTGTGATCTTTTGTGTTTCTTTTAGATCTGCTGTAATGTTTTCTTTTTTTTCTGATTTTGTTTTTTCTCTTTTTTTCTCAGTGTAAATGCTTGTTGGTTTGTGTTTATCTTCTGAAAAAGCCAGCTCATAGTTCATTGATCTTATTCCTGCTCTGATATTTGTTTCTGTTTTTGTTTTCTTAGTTTGAGGTGAGTTGTTTGTTTGAGATCTGTTTTGACAGAGACATTCATTGCTATAAATTTCTTAGAATTGCTTTTGTTGTATTACATAAGTTTTGGTATATTGTATTTCAATTTTCATTCGTCTCAAAAAAACTTAAAAATTTTTTTTTGTTGTTCCACTTGTTCTTCAGGAGCATGTTGTTTAATTTCCATGCGTTTGTGAATTTTCCAAAGTTCCTCCTGTTACTGATTTCTAGTTCTTTACCATTGTGGTCATAAGAGGTACTGGATATAATTTCAGTCTTCTTAAATTTGTTAAGACTTGTTTTGTGGCCTAACATAGAATCTATCCTGGAGAATGTTCCATGTGTAGTTGAGAAGAATGTGTATTATGTAGCCATTTAATGGAATGATTTCTATATGTCCGTTAGGTCCATTTAATATAGAGTATACTTTAAATTCAATATCTCTTCATTAATTTTCTTTCCATCGCTGACAGTGGGGTGCTGTCCTCTACTATTATTGCATTGAAATTCATCAAAATGAGTTTGTAAGTGTTTCCTTCTAGTCTTCTTTAAAGGTTTGGTAGAATTCAGCAGTGAAGCCAGTAGGTCCTGGGCCTGGCCCAGGGTGTAATCCTCATGCCTATAATCCTATCACTTTGAGAGGCTGAGGTGAGCAGATCACGAGGTCAAGTGATCGAGACCATCCTGGCCAACATGGTGAAACACCATCTCTACTAAAAATACAAAAATTATCCAGGCCTGGTGGCATGCACCTGTAGTCCCAGTTACTTGGGGGGCAGAGACAGAGGTTGCAGTGAGCTGAGATCATGCCACTGCACTCCAGCCTGGCAACAGAGCAAGACTTCGTCTCAAAAAAAAAAAAAAAAAAGAAAGAAAAAGAAATTTATCTCCCTTCAGATTTATTAATACTTGCTTTATATATTATATTTCAGTGCTCTAGCGATGGGTATATATCTGTACAGCTGTTATATCCTGTGTCTGAACTGACTCCTTTATCAGTACATAATGACCTTCTTGATTTCTTTTTACAATTTTTGACTTAAGTTCTATTTTATCTGATATAGATATAGCTATTCCTTCTCTCCTTTGGGTTTCATTTGCATGGAATATCTTTTTCCACGAAATCACTTTCTGTGTGTGTGTCCTCACAGGTGAAGTAAGTCTCTTGTAGATAGCACATAATTGGTTTGTTTAAAAAAAGATTATTCAGCCACTCTATGGCTTTTTATTGGAGAATTTAATCCATTTATATTCAAGGTAATTATTGGTAGGTAAGAACTTACTACTTTTATTTTGTTAATTGTTTTCTAGTTGTTTTGTAAATCCTTTTTTTTTTTTTTTTTTTGCAATACTCCTTTGTATTTTTTTCTAGTGGTACGTTTTGATTTCTTTTTATTTTTTGCATATCTCCTATAGTTTTTTTGCAGTTACCATGAAGCTTACAAAAAACATCTTGAGGTATAAAAGTTTAAACAGATAATTTGATTGTAGAAAACAGAAAATGAAACTGTACACTTTTAGTCCACTCTTGCCCAATATTTTGAGTTTTTGATATCATTTATTCAACTTAATTTAAATTTAAATTCAAAGTGATACTATCAGGAGAATATGTAGCAGCCAGTTAAAATTAATTCATCCATGTTAAAAGGATATTTGCTTGGAAGAAAGCTACAGACAAATTTTCTGCCAGTTGCATCTTATCCGTTACTGAAACAAACCAGAAATCTTCACACACTCCTCAAAAACATCCATCTTTTTTTTTTGACTGTCAGTTTTATTTGCAAAATGCCTGTCATGTCTGTGTCCACGAATCCATTTTTTGCTGCCACTGTTTATTTCAAACGTTTTTCGTCCCTTACGTGGACTCTTGCAGAAAACGTCCACAGTCTATCCCTTCCTTTAATTCATGTGCTGTGCTTAATCACAGCTCGTGTCAGATCACAACCCCAAGGATACCTTCAATGGTTGCCCAGAGGATCAAGCCTAAGTGTCTTACTATGACTTTCAAGGCCTTGAGCAGTATGAGACCAATGTCCTTTGCTGACTTCTCTCCTCCTGGGAGGCCCTAATGACCTGATGTCCTGGTCACACTTGATATTGCACCAGTTCCTTCCTATTTCACGTACATTCATGCTTCTGTGACTTTGTTCAACCTGTTTCCTCCACCCAGATTATTGTTCTCATTCTCTGCGCCTGGTGGAAGTCCATTCATCCTTTAAGACCCAGCCAGGTGGAATGGAACTTGCACAGGCTCCCTTATCTGACATGGTAGGCACCAGCAATCAGCTGATTAATCAAAAGTCAGTCAGTTAAAGAAGGAGATAAAAAATTAAAGCCAACAGAGTAAAATGTTCTCACTTAAAACATAAGAAAGTTCATTGATTGACTCTTGGGTGGAAGACTTTTTGACTGTGGTCTTTGTGATTGAAGTTCTTCATTGACTTTCTTCATAGAGTGCAGCCAGAATGTTTATTTCCTTTTCCAGTTTAGGTTCCTTATAAAGGAGTGAGAATTTAAAGGTGCTTGAAAAGCAATCCGAATGCTGAGTTTTAGGCTTTTATGATTTCATCCTTCATCTTTGACAATGACCTCTAATGAAACAGCATTAAAAAATCAATTTTGCACACCCGTGGTAATGTACTTACTACCTGGAACTGCACACTTAAACATCGTTAAGATGGTGTCTTGGTCAGCTCTGGCTGCCATAGCAAAATAGCACAGACTGGGTGGCCTAAACAACAGACATTTATTTTCTCACGGTCCTGGAGGCTAGAAGTCACACATCGAGGGGCAGGTCAAGTCAAATTCAGGCGAGGCCTCTTTTTGGCTTGCAGATAGTTCCTTCTCTCTGTGTTCTCACAT